GAGAGAGAGAGAGAGAGAGAGAGAGAGAGAGAGAGAGAGAGAGTTTGGCCAAAGTTGTTCAGTTTATTTTTGTGCATAACATTTTTTTTTCAGATTTTTTGATTCTGTTTTTGTTTTGTTGTTGTGGCCTTCTTTGGTCCTTGCATGGCCGGGCCACCCGGGCAGACAAGGTGATCAGAGCGGTCCGATTGGTAGCCTATTATCATTATTATGAATTTATATTATGAATTTATTCATATAGATGTTATGGATATATTAGAACGGGTAAGGATGCTGAGCGCGCCGAGCGCTGTACCCTCTGCTTAGAATGGAAATCTATCTATGTCCTGTGTGTGACAGCTTGTCCGTCTCCCTCTCCTGCGTGACACGTGTAGAACGCTGATCATATCATCAGCATCATCGAGTCTGCAGTCAGTCATTTGACACGTGGCATTCGCACGTGTAGGACGCGTCTCGCAAGGGAAGCAGCTGTTATCGCCTACGGTAGTCGCACCACTCGCCATCCGGAAAAGATTTGAATGCATCGGGACATACTCTGTGTCCATATACATTCAAAATGTTGGCGACTGGCATTCGCACGTGTAGGACGCGTCTCGGAAGGGAAGCAGCTGTTATTGCCTACCCGTCTTCACCCGAATACAAGGTACGGTCATTATAGCTGTATTTGGGGCAACTTTGAGTCTAGATACAGCAATAATGACCGTACCTTGTATTCGGGTGAAGACGGGTAGTCGCACCACTCGGCATCCGGAAAATATTTGAATGTCCGGACATACTGTGTCCAGATGCATTCAGAATGTTGGCGACTGGCATTCGCACATGTAGGAAGGGAAGCAGCTGTTATCGCCTACGTAGTCGCATCACTCGCCATCCGGAAAAGATTTGAATGCATCCGGACATACTGCGTGTCCAGATACATTTAGAATGTTGGCGACTGGCATTCGCACGTGTAGGACGGGTCTCCGCAGGGAAGAGTCTGTTACCGCCTGCCGTCTTCACCCGAGTAGAACGCCCGGTCATTATATCTGTACTTGGGCCTATTTTCAGTCTAAATAGAGAGTGAATAGAGTGATAATGACCGGGCGTTCTATTCGGGTGAAGACGGTAGTTGCACCACTTGCCATCCGGAAAAAGATTTGAATGCATCCGGACATACACTGTGTCCAGATGCATTCAAAATGTTGGCGATTGGCATTCGCACGTGTAGGACGGGTCTTGGAAGGGAAGCGTCTGTTAGCGCCTACGTAGTTGCACCACTTGCCATCCGGCAAGATTTGAATGGATGTGGACCGAGGGCACGTCCAGATGCATTCAAAACGTTGGCCGTTGGCACCCGCACGTGTAGGACGGGACGCGTGTAATTAGTATCTAATCTGCCGGGGGGAAAAAATCAGAAGGGAAGCGCGTCTGTGAGGGCCTAGTGGCACCACTCGTTATTGGCCAAAAAGCTGAATGCATCTGGACAGCTTTTTTGTCCAGATGCATTCAGAATTTTGGGGGGTGACGAGTGGTGCCACTAGGCCCTCACAGACGTCCTTCCATCGGCATATGGCCCTATTTGTGCGACACTCGTCAACCGCCAACAAGCTGAATGCATCTGGACAGTCGCCAACATTCTGAATGGATCTGGACACAGTTCCGTTGTGTATCTGGCCACTCGTTAATTAAAAAAAAGGGCGACGGCCTTGAGATATCATCATTGAACTGACAGGCCCCCGTGTAAAGTAATTCAGTGTTATTTCATTCACCTGGTCATCCGATTGTGTATCTGGATTCGAACTTGGGTCTGATTCATATTTCAACAGTTCCGTTGGTGTACGAAAACTGAGCTCGGCCTGGCGGCATCGCTTGGGGTATTTTTGCTATGTAAGTTTGTCAGGTGAAATCGAGCTCCAAAAAAACTAATAGTAAATAATAAATAAAAATAAAAATAAAAAGCGAGCTCGGCCCGAAGAGTGGATGAACAAGGGAAAACGTTTGTTTGTCCGTCTCAACCAGGGGCGGGGTCCCACTAGCAAAGAGGATCGAATTAGGAGCCTGAATCTGGATAGGTTCTTGGCGGAGATGCAGAAAAGCAGATGAGTCACGGTTTTCTGCATCTGTCCTCATACACGTCAAGATTCAGGCATTTCAAGCCAATCCTCTTTGCTAGTGGGACCTCGCCCCAGATATTATAATGAATAATGGATATTATATTAATATAATAAATACAACCAATTTTTAAGTAAAGATTTTTTTTTAAAAATGCCTTATAGGCCCACGCTTAAATTTTCGAGCGCCCAATGATGATGAACACCGAGAACCGCTCTCTATCTTTCCTGCGGGGGCCAAGTCCCACTAGCAGCGTTGAGCTACCTCAACGCCTGACTCTGGACGTGTTTGTGGAGACGTGCAGTTCAGGAAACTCAACACCATTTCTGCACATCTCCGCAAAAGCGTCCAGATTCCGGCTTTGAGGCAGCTCAAAACGCTGCTAGTGGGACTTGGCCCCTGCGGGTGTGTTTGTGTTGGCGTATTAACCGCGAGTTACCCCCACTCTCGAGATCTAATCCTGTTGCCGCCCATTTCGGTGCAGATTTTTTTATTTTATTTTTTATTTTTTATTTTTTTTCTGTGCAGATGTTGGCCTCTTCCTTTTTTTTTTTTTTTTTGGGTGGTCTTTTGACCGTTTTTTGAACTTTTTTCAAAGTCAAGATCGGACCCTGTTCCTGCGATGTTTGGTCCGACTGTGCCAGGGCGTTGGTGTGGATTCATCTTCTTGTTTACCATAGGAGGACTTGCTGGAATTGTATTAGCTAATTCTGGTCTTGATGTTGCTCTACATGACACTTATTATGTAGTAGCACACTTTCATTACGTACTTTCTATGGGAGCCATCCGCGGATGAATGAGAATCACACAGTCGCTAACTAAGGGGCAGGGCGTTGGTGTGTTTAACCGTGTGACTAACTGATGATCTAACCCACCCTGGTGCTGCTCATGCCGATTGCATGCGCATCAAGTCATTACTGAGTGATCCACATATCCACTTATCCATTTACCTATTCGCTTATCCACTTATCAACTCACTTCATCCACTGACGCACTGCCCCAACGCACCGTTATTTTGGCTGTATCTGGCCGGAAATATAGATTTTTATACATTCATTTTTAGGGTGCGTTATGTCCACTTGTGTCTACTGATCCTCTGCCACTAGACGGAATGTAGTATCCACTTATATCCTTTTATCCACTTATCCACTTATCCACTTATCCACTTATCCACTCGTATCCTTTTAATATCCACTTGTTCAGTCACCTATCCACTTATGGACCCGTATACTGCTACTAGACCGAATGCATTATCCACTTATATCTACTTATCCAGCGACTTAATCCATTTATGCACTCGTCCACGGCTACTAGACGGAATGTAGTATCGCTACTGCTCGATGGGAAACAGAAGCAGTATCCTCTTATCGAATGTGACACGTATCCAATTATACGTTTATCAAAGGATACACACTTATGAAATTATCCGCAAATCCTCTTATCCATTTATCGACTACTACTAGGTGCTCTGCATTAGTGCGTGAATCAGGAAAAGTATGTAAGTAGCCCTCTCAGGTCTGAAGTGCCGGTAGGAATGCATGTGGATGTGCAGATACCCAAGTGCATGGTCTGCACCTGCACGTGTCATTGTGCAGGTGCATTCTGATCGGTATTGTTTCTGCCCTTCAGCTGTAATCAGTCAGTCACCCAGCGACTGTCGTTCAACTACTGTTCGTCGGCTCTCTCTCTCTTGTGAACAGTGATCATTAATGCACACAAAAAATAAAACATTACGCAACAAAGGTTATGCAATAGAAGATAAGAAGGGGTGCTCCACCTACTGTTTTTTTCATTCATGCTGAGAAAAGGATACACCTACCTTCTTCCTTTGAGCACAATGCGCAGTCGGCATGAATGTACACAGACGGCTTCCCAGGCTAGATGCAGTCATAATGACCAGGTGCAAACACAATGCCAAGTCGTCATGAATGCACACAAACCATTCTCCAGGCTAGATCCAGTCGTAATGACCGGGTGTCGCATGGGGGCGGAGAAGGTCGCTATGAAAACGCCTTTGAGGTTCAGGCTTTCTTAGCATG